TCACAAACGACATTGAATGCTCTCGCTCTGTGAGGAAAATGAAAACTAGTGATTCATTTTTGAACACTCTACTCAAGAAAAATGCAGGATCTCTGCGTAAAAAATGTAACGCGTTACACGCTCAATATACCTCTAATTTGCGCTGTAAAAATCTATTTTCCCCATAAAATCAAGTTAAACTTTATTTTCTGACCAGAATCGGGAATTTCTATTCGTTACCTATCCATTCATATCAAAATCACCCATATTGCGAGTATTTCTTTTTTTTAAATCGCCGATGGGTTTAATTGACCAGCCACTAAAATTGTGAAATGACACCAACATCGCGCGTAACGTCTGACAAAAACATGATATAATAACAGGGCTTTCACGTAAGTAAAGTGAGAATTCTATGGTCACAGTTATGATCTTCTTAATTAGATTTTATTGAAAGTGACTTATTTAATACCATTTTTAAAGCCATTTTCAGAAAAAAAATTCCTTACTGATTACTTTTTTTCTCTCTAATCAGTCTAGATCGACTCGACATCTAGTATCTTCCGGACGGGAGTCAACATTAAAGAAAATCTGGAGTCTAATACAATTGTTACAAATTAGTATGATTTACAGAATATAAAACTTTAGTAGCGATAAACCACTATTTTCTATAACAAATGAGATGTCTTTAATTAATCATACTCTTTTCTTTTAGGTACTGGGTTCTACTTCTGTGACCTAAGGTTCGAGGTCTTTTTTACGTTCTCGATTTGTATTGTTAATATGATTTAGAAGATTGAGCTTTGTTCTTTATTTTCACCTTTCCCATTGCACTATTAAAAGATTATGTTCATAGCGTCAGTACCAGATTTACTGATACGACAACCTTCTGTATACATGGTTATTTTCGCCCCGTTTAATTTTCGCCCTTTTACACTTGCAAACAATTTTGCCCCGTTTTAAATTCGCCCAATCATAGTTTTATTAAAGAAGTTATGCTGTATTATTTCATTTCATTTCGTCCAAATGAGAGTAGGGCGAAAGGGGCGAAAATAAAAAGGGAGCGAAAATTTCCCTGTATACAGTATGTACTTACTATATTATAATCACATGATATTTGTTTTCTTTACACTAAATAAATCACGAAGATATAAAAATACACAATGTATGGCTAAGTTATAGGAGATAAAAGGAGATTAAGGTTACGATTATGATACACATACATTTATTATAATGCGACAATAACGCCATTAGCAAAAAAGGTTCTCAATTTCTCAATAAATAGCAGTTAATGTATACTAGAAATAGCAACAATTAAACTTTTAGAAAGAATTTTCTAAATTTAGCAAGCCTAATGATATACTGTTTTGCTTTTATATTTAGTAAGTTGAAACTTTTTTTTATACATTACACTGTTTGAAGTATACTAGCATATAGAGAGAAACATAATTTAAAGTTTTAAGAATACGTCACTTACCTGAATCAATCTTTTCCCTCATAATTCGACTGTTCTGTTAAAATTTTTCATTCAAATAAAAGTTATTCAAACATTTTAGTTTTCATTCGCATTTACCAATTTTAGATTAAACTTACAATTTCCTCGACAAAAAGAATCTTTTAAATATTATTTTACAGAACTTTGCTGTGGGTTACCCTATCAAATCTTGAAATGGGATTTGCAAATAGAAATCGAACCCTTAAAAAACTCAAGCGAGTTTTATTAAACAAATCTCTGAAACAACATTAATAAATGAAAATACTCATACTTAATGATAAAGTTATGATTTTTGTTAAATCTAATTCTTATTGTGGAATTTGTTTTTTCATACACCTTTCGTCTTCGCATATTCCTAATATGGAGATCAATTATACATATGTATTATGAACATTTGTTTCACAATTACTCTTACAATGCATACCCATCAATTTCTTTACGGTAAACGCTTCACAAGCAAATAGTCCTAGTGTCAGATATTTAAGCTGTTGTTCCTTTTCTTTTAGAAATGATAGATATATATTCAGGCGAACAGTCACGAGATAAAAAATAACATGAATAACATAGTATTTAAAAAAAATAAATCAAAGTTAAATAATATATAATATATTTGTGTTTTTTGTACTAAGTGTTTAATTTTAGATACAATCATTCTCTGTTTCAGTGAAAGTTTCACCTTATTAGCAATTTTGTCATCAAATGATGAGCACTTTAAGTTAATTGTTGGCATCAGTTCTATTTCTGGGTTTATGATTACTTAATTACATTATTTAAAGAAAACATATCAAAACTTTGATGTTTTCTAATGATTAATCCCTGTTATATGAACTTAATATTATAAAAAGGACAATACATTAACATGTAAAAGTATAAATGATTACATATGTAAGTATATTATGTCAACACAGGTTGATCATTGCAATACTGGTAAGATTGAACATCCCTTTGTTAAAATTAACTACGGTTACGAACTGTGGTATACTGTTAGTTTAGTAAATAAAAAATGTAAAGTAAAAAATTAGAAACTTATAGTAAAATTAATATATTTTCTATAGTTAGAACTTTATCATAGATTGATTGATTGTATATTTACGGAAGCCCATTTAGGACCTATCAAAAAATATTTTTGAATCCGTTATAACGATTTTTAGAATTCGTTATAACGAATTTAATTTGTTATAAGAATTCAAGAATTTGGTTATAACGAATTCAACAAATCTGTAATAACAGATTAAATTCGTTATAACGAATTCAATAAATCTGTAATAACAAATTAGATTCGTTATTTCAATGAATCTGTTATAACAAATTAAATTCATTATAACGAATTTAACAAATCTGTAATAACAAATTAAATTCGTTATAACGAATTCTACAAATCTGTTATAACAAATCAAATTCGTTATAACGAATTCTAAAAATCGTTATAACGAATTCAAAATATTTTTTGATAGGTCCTAAATGGGCTTCCGTATATATTGGTTAACGTCCCTCTCGAGAATTTTAATCATATGGAGACGTCACCGTATACCGGTGAAGGGCTTCAAATTTAGACCTATACTCGGCACTCAGGGCCATTGAGCAGTGCGGGTTCTTTTTAGTGTCAACGCCTACCGTAACACGGGACCTACGTTTTTAAGGTCATATCCGAAAGACCCAAGACTTTCACTTCTAGTGCTGAGCGCTTGGCGAAGGAACAATTACTACCAATGTTTACGTCTTAAGTATGACGCGGCGCCTGGAACGAGAATCGAATCCGGGCCTCCCGATCACGAAGTGAACGCTCCACCACTAGGAAACCGTGTCCGTTCTTAATCATAGATGAACTTGGACATACTATAGAGAACTATAGATAACCATATTAAATTATTTATATTATTGTAGCAAACTATAGTTTAAAGTAGTATATTTATATGCAGTGTATTTCTCTTTATGAAATCTATTGTAAATCTACAACCTTGTCACGGCGAGACATAATGCACAATAAGAGCTACACTTTAATTAACTAAAACACCCAAATGATATTGCTTTATGCTTGGACTAAATTCAATTTATATTATCGATTAAACGTTTGTACTATTACCAACATTTTATACTGCTGCATATTATATTCCAATTACCCCCAGGTCTGATCAATGAAAGTGACACCAACAGTAAAGCAAGAGAGGTGAAATTTGTTAAAAAAAAAAAAAACAAACAAAAAAAAAAAAAAAAAAAAAAAAAACTTCACAATATATTTATCTTTTTTTCGTATCCTAAGTGAACAACAATTCACTTTTCAAGCTATCAAAAATCAAGGTTTTTTAAAATATTGATCTAAAAATCCTTTAATTTTTTTCCTTAGAATCAAACTAGCAGGGACTATATCTTTAGCGGAATGGTGGCGTATGAAAATATCTTCTCTTTTGTCTCTCAAAATTTTAATAGAACATTGAATTTAGTTATAATTTTTACACAATCAAAGACTTGAAAAAAAAATTCAAATGTAAGTTGAATTTATTATTAATAATAGGGGACTAAAGTTTCAAAATATATCAAATAAAAATTATTTTCCAAAAAAATCTAGAACTATGTTACCTTTTAAAAGCTTCCAATCTAATACAGATTTGAGCCAAATATCCCTTGTTTTTTTTCCAACCTAAGACGTAAACATACTAGTAGGCAATAATTGTCAACCAAATGTCGATCCCAGTATATTCTATGACCACTTCAAGGACCTAGCATCAAACCCAAACGCGACGACTAACGAGACTGTGAACGATGATAATTTGTGTGTGTTTGAAGAGCTTGACCGTGAAATATCCGAAAAAGAAATACAGAATGCCATATCTAAGCTAAAGAAAGACAAATCTCATGGAACAGACTTGTTGATCAATGAATACTTTATTGAATTTAAACAATGTCTTCTTCCTATTGTACATAATCTTTTTAATAGAATTCTGTCATCAGGTATTTTTCCACATACATGGGCTAAATCGGTAATTGTTCCTGTATTGAAAAAAGGTGATAGGCTAGATCCAAATAATTATAGGGGCATCAGCTTAATTAGTTGTTTTTGCAAACTTTTTACTTCGATTCTGAATAATAGACTCATTGAATGGTCTAAGACTAATGATATTATTACAGATGCTCAATTCGGATTCCAACCAAGGGTGGGGACAGCCGAAGCAATTTTTAGTTTGTCGACAATTATTAGTACGTCTTTACGTAAGAAAAAAAGATTATATTGCTGCTTTATAGATTTTAAAAAAGCATTCGACACTGTAGAACGTTTTAAGCTTTGGGAAAAACTCAGTATGTACGGAATTAAAGGGAAATTACTAAATGTTATACGTGCTATGTATGAGAATATAAAATCCTGTGTCAAATCAACAAGAATGATTTCAGAGGTCTTTGAAAATTCCCTAGGGTTGTTACAAGGAGAAGTTCTGTCACCTATCCTTTTTTCATTGTATGTAAATGATTTTGAAATTGAGTTCATAAAAAACGGTAATGTTCCCCTTGAACTGCAAGAATTGAATCTTTTTACCTTGATGTATGCAGATGACATGGTTTGTTTTGCTGAATCTGTACAAGAACTACAACAAATGTTGAATACTTTGTATGATTATGCTTCAAAATGGGACCTGACCATTAATGTTGATAAAACTAAAATTGTTGTTTTTAGAAATAGGGGGAAAGTGCATGATAATGAGAAGTGGCATATACATAATGAACAAATAGAAGTTGTAGACAAATTTATGTACCTTGGTGTTTTATTAAACTACAATGGAAATTTTAATGTAACTCAAAAACAATTGGCTTGTCAAGGTAGAAAAGCAATGTTCTGTCTAAAATCTAAGGTTAGTCAATTGAGTTTAAATACTGAAACTATGTTCTCACTTTTTGATACATATGTTAGTAGCATACTGAACTATGGCTGTGAAGTTTGGGGAAGCCATAATGCATGTGATATTGAGAAGATACATTTAGAATTCATTAAGAGTGTTTTATATGTTAGAAAAAACACAAATACTTCTATGATATATTTTGAAACAGGTAGACTGCCTATGAAGATTATACGACTTTTCCGAATTTTAAAATTTTGGTTCAAAATATTACAAAGTAAGAACTGTATTTTGAGATCATGTTATGAGAAACTGTTAGAGGAAATTGAACAACCAAAGAACAAGATTAAGAATTGGGCTTCTAATATTAAAGATAAATTATTCGAAATTGGTCTAGGATATATGTGGACTGACCAAGAAAGAATTAGTTATAACAGCCATTTCCCAATTATAAAGCAAAGAATTATTGACAACTATGTACAAAATCTCCTTGCTGATATCAATAGTTCATCTAGATGTATGTTATTTAAATACATTATTGATCACTTCACACTGCAATATTATTTGGTGAAACCTATTCCATCCATTTATAAAAAGCAAATTAGTAAGATAAGACTGTCTTCACATAATTTAGCTATTGAAAGTGGACGCCATAGAAATATCTTGCGCGAAAACCGAAATTGAAGATGAATTCCATTTTGTTTTAAAGTGTCCACGATACAAGGGTTTACGAGTAAAATATATTAGAAAATACTACTGGGAAAAACCATCTATGTTTAAATTCATACAGTTGTTATGTGCACATAATGTTAAGGACCTTTGTAATTTGGGGAAATTTTTGTACCATGCCTTTAACTTACGTGATGAATGTCATATTGCCTTATAAACAAATTAATAATGGTTTGTACATTCTCCATCATCATGATATTGATTGCATAATAACTATGCTGACTGTTAAAAAATACCCTCGCTATGCTTTACTGTTTACATGTTATAAATTTATATTGTATACAATAAGATGTATGTCTTACTTAATAAAGTGAATTGAATTGAATTGTTCCTTCGCCAAGCACTCGGCACTAGAAGTGAAAGTCACGGGTCTTTCGGATAGGTCCCGTGTCACGGTAGGCGTTTGCACGATAAAGAACCCTCACTGCCCAATGGCCCTGAGTGCCGAGTATAGGTCTTATTTTTATAAGACCTATAAGACCGCGGTTTATAAAGCGTGTAAAGCGTAAACTGTCCCTGGTTACTGGTATGTTATATCGTATAATTTAAAAGTTGAAATAAGCTTCATTCTTTAAATAATTTTGAATATAAAGTTTTTTATTTATATAAAAGCAACGGACATTCCTTCTAATGAGTGTGAATGTGAACCCAATGTACCAACAGTTTGGTTTGGGAGAATGAACTGAACTTGAACTTTCTTATTAAGGTGAAATCCGATGTAATAATTGACACAAAAATAACATGATAAAGAATAATTATATCTTATCAATCTATCTCAGTTGACTGTGGTATATGATAAAATTCTAAAGGAAGGTCGTTAATAACTGTAGGATGATAGACCTAAGTTAAAATGATAGGTTTTGATATTTTATATGTTAGTAATCAAAAACACTTCTTGTCATGCTCTTATTATCTTACCTGATAATTCGCAGTTAGAGATTATGGTTGAACGTTCATTGCTTCCTTGAAAGACGACAGGATATATAAATCCTCGACTTTGCAAAGTTTCAAATCATCTTCGGAAAATTATAATATGAATCTATTGTTTGATAAGGTATGATCAATTCGAGAAAAAAAATGGAAAGCGAGGTGAACCATTAACAATGGTGAACATGAACAAATCCTTTGAGTATTCTACACTGGGTGAACAATCGAAACGTTTTCTTGAATAAAGTCAAATATGAAAGGAGGAATTTTATGTGGGAATAGGTAAATATTTGTCTCGAAAATAATGAGGTTATATATGAACAAAAATTTATTAAATCTCATTTATACCACTAAACAAACGTTTATACAGTTATTCCCCAGCAATCGGTTTGTTGTGATAATTAAACAATAATGCAGGTGAAGCTATTTCAAAACACTTCAACATTTACAATTATCAGTTTTATATTTAGTTCATATTTTGTTTCATATTATCGGTATATTATCAGCTTTTTATTCACTTTCTAATCCTGGTTTACATAATTGTATTTTATCAATTTTCGCAAGTTCTACTTGTCGTTACAATTGTAGCAGGTCTGGTGTTCATATAGCCTGTACTTCGCGTTGTGTTTATATTTGTTTTGAGACGACTTTCTGAATATAAGACCTCTACATTAGATTATACCTTGGAAATATTTGTAAATTGTAATGAACTATAAAAGAAAATAAGATTAACAAGACTTTACAATTTATTACCAATCTTACAGTACGTTATAATAGTACACAATATGAAGACCTTATTTCCCCAACCCAAATATGGCCTAACTTAACCCTAATATAGTCTAGCCTAAGTAGTAATATAATTTAATTAAGACAGACGAACAAGGGACGATTCCAGTATATGAAGAGTTTAGCTAGCGAAGCCAGCTGTCTCCCTCCCCGATCTAATAGTTACCTAGCTTTATATATGAAAAAGGAACAAAAGAAACTGTCAAAAACCTTATTGGCCGAAAGATAAAAGTGGGCGTTTCCAAATAAAACGTGGACAATTTACATCGGGATCGAAATGAAATAATTATGAAAACGTAAATAAACCTAATCTGTCACACAATAAAAGCAACTTATTTATGGGTAGTATTTTGTTTGACATATATGTTTCATACCACATTGATTTTTAGACTAGTTTTAAAGAATTTGAGCTAAAATGCTTCATAAGAAAAAGACATTGATGGCAAAGTATAATAAGACCTTACGGTAAAAGTTATGGCCAATTTTTTTTATCCTCAACTTCTATTATTTACATGTTTGTAGCAATTTACATTATAACCTGCATATGGAATTATGTCTCTCAGTTAATGTGATAAAACAGCAAGAAAGAATTCTTAAACATGTTAAACTATTTACAAATACCTTGGTGATACAAGGCTTTGAACTACTAGTATCTCGTATAAAGTCAACTTTTAGCAATTTCTATGGTCGACACAATGACCTTGTCAGAAAATACAATCTATCAAATGATGACTGGTGTTTATGATACAAATTCTTAAGCCATTATTTTGGCTCTGAGTTGTCCTTGTACTTCCCTATCTACCTGATCACGGCGTGACCAGTCGACAAGGGATGTTTAGTCTTCTTTGCCACATGATCCTGAGATTTTTGAACGCCTTTATTTGCTCATCAATATTGTGTTTTGTTCCCATGGACTTTAAACATGATTACTGTTAGTTTTATATATATATATATATATATATATATATATATATATATATATATATATATATATATATATATATATATATATATATATATATATATATATATATATATATATATATATATATATATATATATATATATATTATATATAGATATTTTATTTAAGTGAAACAAGGAATTTATATATCAAGGTCTACTAAAAATAGTAAAAAGTTATTTTAAGCGATTCAAAAAATAGAATGTTGAAGAAAGGAATTTAGAGAAAAAACTAATTCTACCAAAAACTGCAGCTAATACTTGATGTCTTCTTGATAGTTAATTTTTTTTCGTTATCTTTTAAAACAATTTAGCGTTAAATATATTTCTTTTTAGCGAAGTTGCAAAAATGTTAGTATACAGTGTATATATTTAAAACTTTTATGCGATAAAAATAACAAACCATTTGAAAAGATGAACTAAATAGGCAATATACATTCAAATGCTCTATCTGTAATTCGTTATAGTTGTTACTCATGCAAATTTTATATATTCTTAAAATTTTAGATGCAGAAAAATTATTAATAGGCAGAAAAAAAAAATTTTGGAAAGGCATAAAAAGTTACACTAATAACTAATATCAACAAAATTACATGGCAAAAAGTGTTCTATTGGAAATTAATGTATATATACCTGTATTTTAATTAGAGGACATAAATGCCTTGCCATCTGTCTATATAAAACATTCTCAAAGTTCTATTTTATTATATCGTGTATGAATGAATCAAATGCTTGTTGAAATGACAAATTTCATTTAAAATATGGAAAGTGTGTTTAAAAACATTCACTAAGAAGCAAGGCTCACATGTGTGTAGATACTACAAGTGTTTTTTCGATTGTTTCCTTAGGCTGAACCTCCAAAAACGGCTGGTATAAAATATTCCTCTCCTTCAAAAGATTCTCGTGTCTTCTTCTATTACATATACAAAGCATCAAGAGAAGTTGAATTCTGCACTCTCGAAACCTCCAGATGTACAAAATTGGGTTTATAAAGATTGTGATTAATGTAATACCTAACACAACCAATTCCATCTGTAATATTTCTACATTCTCCTTAAAGCACATGATCACGTGAACAACGATGGCCAGTAAGTAGAGAAGAAAGTGTGGCCCGGTTATAAGGACGATCTTCCTACTGAAGACCATCTGATCGTGGATTATTCTAGAAGCCGACAAGGACTGGAGGTCGTTAATTTCTCGGTTATGTTTTCTGTAGATTGACAATATCATCAAGTAGGAAAACACATACAAGGATAAAAATACACTGCGCAAAACAATTTTAAACAACAAGGCGTCAGACTTGAATAGTTGAATAATCACAGCAGAAACTATGCTGAAAATCCAGAGTCCTACACATACCGCTACCATCCGCTCCTTCGTTGTGTAGAGTTGGTATTTTAACGCAAATTTTAAGCTCAGAAATCGGTCCACTCCAAAAGCCGTTATGTTAAGAATAGAGAGGGTTGTCAATATGTCGAAGATAGCATGGCAAATTGCCTCGCCTTCTTTGGCAATAGGATAGGCATACTGAAAACCATACGCAATACCAGTGGCACTTCCAAGAAGGAAATCGGGAACGGTCATATTAATGGATAAGACTTTGATTTGTAAGGGAAGCTTCTTACACTTTATCAGAACAAAGAATCCCAAAACATTTCCCAAGGCAGCCACTAAATAGGTGATGGAGAAGACAAAAAACAAAGGGTTGTCTTGATGACTTGGGGTGGTGCTGTCAGACACGTTCTCCACACCCCACATGTTGGAACTTTCTCAAACCATGACTAAGGATTCCTCATTCTTTTGTTACGTCAGACGATTATCCTGAAATCAATATGTTCTTTAGCAATTATGCGTTTTTAATTATTTCACTGGATATTGTTTTCTGAAAAATTCTTATGTAAAAAAAGAGATATATCGATATTTTATCAAGGTTTCTATAGGAACAGTTCAAAAATGAAAAACAACATGATCATAAGTGTTTGGTAAGGTTAATAATAATCACATCTTATATGTCATTATTTACTTAAAATAAAAATGTAATATAATCTGTAGTACTTTTAGAAGTATTTATGTTAAAAGAAAACACCTGTACAAGAGGAAGAGAAATAAATTGCCTAGTTATATATAAAACTTTTCTACATGACAATGCAATTCTTATTCTTCCATCTTTTAATCTCCAGTTTCAAAGATCACGAGATATATTATGTTCTGCTATTTGTAAGGTAATATTTTCCTAAACACCCACGCTGCCCAATATTTGAGAGGTTAAAAAGGAGGATGTCTTTACTTTGAGTGCAAAAAATCATGTCTGTGATACATGAACTTAGTTTTATTTGAAAAAAAAGTAATGAACAAAAAATTCACACTTTCAAAATATTGTTATATTGTACGGAGTTTGAGCGTGATTCTCAATGACGTCTTTTTCCCCCTTTTATTCTATTTTCTGATATAGATTCTAAGCATATTTATTAACATTTGATATTCTGAAATAGTTGAATCTTATATTAACATTTTTTAAGATTACAGATATTGACTGTGAGTTTTTAAATTATTTCTTTTTAGAAGGAACAAGTACAGAAAACTGAAAAGAAGCACAGAACTTGGCAAAAAGAGATAACATAAAAACAGGAAACTATGTTATGTTTATATCTACTTTAAGAAATACAATGCTTGTATTGCAAGTAATTTAACGATTGCAAAAAAGCAATGTTTTTCTTGTTTGACAAAGAATTAGGCATTTTAAGTACAATAATATGACTTGGTAGTTAAGTCGAATTTTAGTATAAATGAAGAAGAATAATAGTTGATGAATTTAACAATTTGTAGTCTATACAGATATACTTTAAAGAGGTGTTTTAGTGGATTTCCTAGGCGTATTTAAAATACATTCTTTAACTCGCCTTTGCCATTATATGATTCGATACGCAAGAACATGCTCTACGTATGACAATTTCTAAAATGAGGTTAGTTATTGACAAAATAGTGGATGAAACAAGAATATGAGCAGTCTCGTTTAAAGTCATCATTTCGTACATTCTATGGTCGAAACAATGACCTTGCCAGCAAATGCAATTTATCAGTAAATCAAATGCTGGCTGACGTTTTTCATACAACAGATACTGAATTGTCGACGGATTTTCCTGTTATTTCCCGACCATGACAAGTAGCACACGGCGGGTGTGACCCGTCGGCAGAGGATGCTTACTCCTCCATGGCACCTGGTCCCAACATTGATGTTTTTTAGAGGTCTGTTTTTGATCTGCTCCAAAAATGTGTATTGTTTGGGACTTTTGAGCTTGTATACTGTTCTTTTTTATATATATTCTATACTTGAAAAGAGATTTTAGCCTGCACTGCGTTGTATTGGTATACAACCATTATATTTAATCTGATGAGCTAGGTTAAGAAAAAGGTTTAAGATCTCACTCTTCCTAAATTTCTTTTACCGGGTCAATAAAATTTGCTTTTTAAAATTAAAGTGAAGGGTGTTTCTGTTTTTGCGTTTCTAAAATTTGGTACTTGGATTTTGAATTGCAAAAGTTTTCAATGGGTTTTTTGTTCCAAACATTATCTGAAAACACCAAACAACGGTGTGGACATGTCGTATTTCGGTTGAAGTATCAAATCATACACCAGGGTGACTTAAATGTACATTTCTGACTTATTAAGATAAAATGATCTTACTTGTTAGATTTCCACAGGTCCACTGATGATACAACAGACTCGGTTTATCATGTAAACTGCCTCTCGCTGTTCTCACTCAATAGACATTAGATATCGATCGCCTCAGGCAAAATTTCCACTAAACACCAAAGAATATTCAACTTGGTTGAAAGATTTATTATCTGGGTAATCTTAAACTTCACAAATTAGACAGCATTTAGTGTGTGGGTCTTTTGGTGTTTAATAATATTAATTCCTATCAAACAAGAATAAATTTTGTATCGATTCATTACGAAAGATACTAGCTTTTCATAGAATTCACTTATAAAAATCCAGCAGTTATTATATATAACAATGAGTCTCACTGAGTTCAGGTGAAAGATGCCAATTATTTTTCAATATACAATATATTTGTTTCAAAGCTGAGTTTTGTGTTATTTGTCCTATATATGGTTTGCATATTAAATATAGTGTAAGACTTGTAAACTCAAAATTGAACGTACCCTCTTTAATAACTTCCATTTGAGTAAACTTTGATTTACTTAAATTAGACTTGAGCGTACTTAATTAAATTAAATTGCAATTGATATAAGAAAGTAAACTTTCAATGATTCATTTAACTTCTAATCAAAATTGAATGGACAGTGGTTTGAATTTTTAAACATGTTAACTTATTTACGGTCTGTGAAGAACGTAAAGCCGGAATAAGTCTTATTTACTGTTGTCAATATATAACGACAAAAACCTGAAATAACTGTCTAAATTGAAATATAAGTTGAAGGGTGTGTTGAATTGCTATGAATTAAAACTACCGTTTGTTGCCTTCTTAATTGTTGGTATTCTTTTAAGGTTTATAAACGAGTAATTAGTATCACATTTTTTTGCTTGACACTTCACAAGAAAGAATAAAATCAAATTTTAAGAGACTTGGTTTCAGAACAAAGGATCAGTTTTGCTAATTACAAGTATGATTAGAACAAAAACACATATATACTGCCTAATTTTTAGTCAGTTGTAAATTTTAAAAAATAGACTAAAATTATATAATTATCAGCTATTATATACATATGTTATAAATGATAGACTAAATTACCATCTATTTATACTTGATTGATTGATAAATTAGTGTCGTATCAATTTTCACTCTATTTTCACCTGATATATAACAAGCTCATTAGTCAATCGATGCACCAATTGATCTCCTTGTTTTTTGAATATTAGTTAGCAATAATAATTTACTTCAATTTTGTAAAATTTTACTATACCAGACAAGAAAAAGATTGATTGATTATTGCTGTTTTACGCTGAGTCGGCAATATTTCAGCCATATTTCGGCGGTTACAAGAAGAAAAAAATGTTAAAGTTTTTGGACGCCCCCAGGCCTTTCTCAAGGACAAATAAAATATTTCATAAAAGGAAAAAATAAATAAAATTAAGCAATGTGTCAGCTGGCATATTTCTACTTGCTTTAAAACAGGCTACATAATTATGTAGACATGTAAGTTACCAATTTTATTTAAAAATATTAAAATGTGGATGAAAATACTTTCTAACGCCACTATCTGACATAAGATGCAACATGAAATCTTTTACGGTCATGCGACTTATATGCGCGATAATTATATAGACATGCATAGACATGCAACTTATTCATGTCAACATGCAAGATGATTATGTTAACATGCGAGTTATTTATGTCAGCATTCGAGATATGTAAGTTGATATGCATTTTTTTCCTGCATGACGACAAATGTTTTGTATATTAAAAAATTTAACTCGCATGTTGACAAAAATGTAAGTTTTGTTGACATTAATAAGTGATTTGCCTATTATTTTGTGAAAAAAAAATCTATGTACACACAAGTACTCTGTTGACATAAAAAAAGAAGTTGTGTTTCCTATATTATTATTTTGCATGTTTACATAACCTGTTGGAATTTCTTACATATCAATTGAATGTTATTAAAAATTATTTTGTATTCATATGAAGCAGAATTTGTCCAAAATCTTGTACGTAAAATGAAGAAAACACTTGATGTGGCCCTCAACTCAACATTTAGATACAATGTACATATATTGTATATCAACGAAGTACTGTTAAATTAACAATGGTTATTTCCAGCTTATGTCGATACTACGAAAGTTCCCTTTCATTCGAGATTCAAGTTTTGAATATTTTCAATATCCCAAAATGAATTTGAATCACCATATCAATATTGGATTCCGATACTTCATATAAATCCTTACAAATAAAGATGCATATCGGGTTTCACAAAATACTCAACCAATCAAATGCGGGTTCAACATTGCTCCCCTTTATTATGTTTAATCTATCAATAAATCGTTTAATATATTTATAACAAATGAGTCATTTGAATAAATATAATGCAAGAAAGAGTGTTATATATATTAGAAAGAAAGTTAAATAATCATTTGATTTTTGAAAATATACTTCAAGTTATATTATGACTTCTGGAATATTACAATGTACATAATCAGAATATATATATTTTTGATTTTACCCATATATAAAGGATTGTTAAAAAATAAAGTTATAAATAGTGACTAAAGATTAACAAAATCCTTTAGCCTATAAATAAAAACAATATTTTATTTCCATAACGCTATGGTCAGAGATAAAATATAAAACCATAACGCCTAGTTCTGCAGCTAATTTTGACTATCTACTGTTTGATATCAGATAAAATGAATGCTGCATTTATTCTAAATATTTGCAATCTGTATTGTATATATAATTGTTATTTGCATAAATCAAAGCCTTAGATGAACATAAGTAATTGAAAACTTTTTTTTAATGTATTCCCTCTATGTACACACAAGGCTACATTGCCTTTCAAAGTTTTAAAGTAACATTTTCAAAAAATTGGCAGGAGTTGCTTGTGTTTCTTTAACAATATTCATAACTGTATTATTATGTCAGCAACCCTTTAAATACAGTAGACAATGCAAAAATACATATATTCCTGATATATGTATTCCATTTAATATTTAAGAAGTCATAATATAAATTGAAGTATATCTTGCTGATAAAAAATCAAATGATTATTTAACTTTCCTTCTAATATATATAACACTCTTTCTTGTATTGTAATTTATTCAAATGACTCATTTGTTATAAATATATTAAACGATTTATTGATAGATAAAACGTAATAAAGGGAAGTAATCAAATGTTGAACCCGTATTTCATTAGTTAATCTGGATTTTGAATATCGCCCTCAATTTCGAACATTTAGATACAATGTACATATATTGTATATTAATCTGACTTGCTGTCAATTAACAATTTTGTTATTTCGAAACTTGAATCTCGAATGAGCCTTCTGGGCTTTCTTACCATTATACGATCTATTCCTGTGAGCTTGAGATAAAAGATACCACAGAGTCTGACACATCTGTTTCATATTTGATTATTTTACCTGAATAGGCATTAATGGTAATCTAACAACCAAGAACTATGATAAACGTGATGACATAAACTTTTTAATCGGTAACTTCCCCACGCATACGGAGTTTATATCTCTCAGTTTATTCGATGCACAAGAGCATGTTCTACGTAATAAAACTTCTCAAACGAGGTACACTGTAAATTATTTTCAACAAGTTCATGAAACCGTTTAAAGTCATTATTTCGTAGGTTCTCTGGTGGATACAATGACCTTGTCAGCATATACAAGGTATCATTGAGTGAAATGCTGATTGCCGTTTTTCATACTATAGTAATTGTTAGTCCATTATTTATACACTAAATTGATGACAGATTTTTCCGTTATTGGCCGATCATGACAATTAAGGAACACATGGCGGGTGTGACCGGTCGGCAGGGGATTCTCACTCCCCCATGGCACCTGATCCCATCTCTCATGTTCTGGAGGTCTGTTTGCTCTGTTCCTGATTTATATTGTTTATTGGACTTTTGAGCTTGAATACTGTTCGTTATCTCCATATATGTCATATCAACATGCAAGATAATTACATCAACATTTATTTTGTTCTTTTATGTTAAGATGCGAAATATTTATGTTGGCATGAAACTTATCTTGCATGTTGACATCGACATCTTGAATGTTAACATATAACTTGCATATTGACATAAATAAGTCACATGATGACATAAATAAGTCGCATGTTAACATAACTATCTTGCATGTGACATAAATATACAGCTGTCTATATAATTATGTTGCATGTTAACATCGATAAGCCGCATGTCTACATAATTCAATTTACAAATGAGACCAAGTTTTCATTTGAGTTTTCTCAATAATGCCCTATAAAAAATTAAAAATTTGACTGAATGGATTTTTCAGGGGTGAAAAAATTGTAGATTAATTTCTTCCCAATATAAATCACATAGTCCAGTAATGAAGCACAGTCAGTGTGTATCTGAATTTGAAGATGCTTGGAAGACATAGTTGTCTCGACAGACTTCATAATTGGACATTTATACCTGTATCATCTGCAGAATTTATAATGGATAGGAAAACCTTTCTAGTGGTCATAGTAATGGTGTTAGGGGCACTTATATGTGAAAGCCTGGATTTAAGGGTAGGATGGTTGTCGACTTCTTCAAGGACAACTTATCTGTGCTTTGAAATAGCCTGTTATTTTCGTTGAATTAAATGTTGAGCTAAATATTTACATCATAAAAGAGCTTCCATACACTGTTCTAGTGTGAGAGTAATTCGTCAAATGTAAAATTCAGCACCTCTTGTAAAAGCCCACTAGTATATACTGTCAATTAGTAATTCCAGTATTTTTTTTAACTGTGAGTAGAATATTTTTTTAACAATGGTAATTTTGTAAATGAACAATCATAAAAATGTTAACTTTATATTTTCAATAAATCGCAATGAAAATTATCACATAACTACCCCAACATCTAGTTTTAATTAATAATATATGCATAAGAATTCTTTACATGGGCTTTTGATTCATTAGATTTAACAAAAAAAAGTAAAATTAATTAATTATATTTTAATTTTGGAATGAAAAAGTGGGAGGCTAAGCCTTGTGTCAAAAATATTTAAAATTTTGCATTCAAAATACTGTAAATCACTTTTTATTCGCGAGAACTATATTTTCGCGTAATTACGCAAGTCTGTCTGCTCGCGAAAATTTATTTCTCGCATATATTTGTTTTATCAATATTTATATAAAACAGAAACCACAACTCGCGAAAATTTTGTCTCGCTTATAAATACCACATAGTTAAGTCGCGAAAATAAGGTGTCGCGAAAATATTGTGATCTACAGTACATTAAAATATTGTAGTGATCCTCCCAATATTTACCTCAGCAATTAAAAATGTAGCAACACTTTATACCTTTATCATATTTCAAAGAAAGTACAGTATTACTAATTGCATACTTTATTTCAGATATTTTTTATTGATAAATGGTTATATGACATAATACTATTTAATCAACATCCTCCGGTTCTTGCTTGATTATCACATCTAACGTCCATGATGTAGGGACAGGTTTATCTGTATTTATTTTACCATCAAGTTTTGTTTCTGAAGTCCCTTGTTGAACAGATGTCTGTAGTCTTACAGAGGATTTGTTAACACTTTGTTCTCCCTTTGCACAGTTACTGTTATTTACAACTTTGTCTTTATTATGAGATTCTGCAGCGGGTAGATGAACAGTGCTATTTTTGGTTTCCTCAATATGGCCAGTAGTGGAATTAATAGCAGTATTTTCACTTGATTGCGTGGATTTGTGATTACTTTCTTTGGTAGATGGCGCTCCATTTTGACTTGAATCCTGGGATCTTCCTCTTTGCAGTGCTGGGAGACTGACTGAATTAAATGCACTCAGAGGAGGGAGTGTGGCAAGTTTTACTCCCTCCTCCTCTGTCTCCATTTCCACATGGAGTTCATTCATAAGCTGCGAAAGTTTCTCTGCCTTGCGTAGTTCATTTTGGTGTATAATTGTATATAAATGTTCTGTCAATTGTTCCTTCAAATCTGATTTCTTCTGCAGATCCATCTTTGCCTCGATGAATTCTCTTTCTGCCCTATCATATCGACGCCTGTAAAATAATCAATTCATTTCAGAATAATACAGTGTACAGAACAATATTTTAAGTTTATGATAGTTTAGATTTAATTATTTTTTATAGAGAGTTGAAGTCTTTTACAATCTTTTGACTGTGCACTAGTTCCTGGTAGAAAATGCAAAATGTGATTTTTTAAAATTTCATTGGTTGAGATGCTGTTCAAGGCAAGGTAGATAATTTTTTGGTGATTTTTTTTTGTCTGACTAAACAATTTTTCAAGGTTATCAATTTTAATTCAATCAAAGTAAAAAAACCTGCAAAGTTGCATCTGTTGTAAACCCTGTAGCACAACAAAGACAGCAATTTAAAATTATGTCCCTTACTGAGCCTCCATGTAATCTTTGCTGGCTGATTCTATCCGACTCCGGATCAGTGTAACATCTGCAGATAGACGATTGTCCAGCAACTGAACTTCTTTCTGGATATGGGACAACTTCTGGGCCTCTTCACGTGCTTTCTTCTGTCTACAAACAAAAAATTTCTAAAGTAAAAATTCTGATTTAAAGATATCAAGAGAAGTAAACTATAATTTTTTATATTTTGCTTCAAACTGAAGCACAAAATTGTCTGTAAGACCAGACATGTTTCTGCTGAAAAGCATTGAATAACTTTCTGTGAGATTTAGGATCAATTGAATTTTTTAAAAATTGTCACCTTTCTGTCAAGGTTTTGGAAAGCAGAGCTTTTCGTTGTTTGTTGGCCTCCTCTATCATCTTCTGTTGATCACGAAACTTGTCCAGATTATTCATCTCACGCCTGTAAATTCAAGGAGAACGACAAGATATTTGACTAGAAGTACATTTGAGCCATTAATCTGAATGATTCCCAGGCAAATTGTTGAAATAGTTAAAACTGAAATATAAATGTTAATTCTGTTTGAAAAATATTCCTCTGTTGTAATGTATGAATTAAAGAATAAGGCTCTATTTTACATGTATTAACTAAGGATTCATTTTGTATTTCTTTCTCCATTATCCTTCAACTTCCCAAAGGATATGAGCTAAAATAAGCTGTGTAGGCTTGGTCAAATCCCTCTTTATCAATCCAATGGAGTGGATCAAATGATTTTAATTCTAATGTAGACCAGGTTCAGGTACACGCTCTGTATAACACTTAGGACTATGAAGACAGATAGACTCACTCTGTGGCTGGTTACTTACGACAGTGCCTCTGTGTCGTCAATCTCAGTTATCTCCTCCTTGATCTCTATAGGATCCTCTGGCTGCTGAGATGGCACCTGAGTCTGTTTTGGAATTTTGTTACCACCTGTATATACAGACATATATAGTTACATGTATACAATTTATATATGATACACACTATATTATATAACATTTTTGAAGAAGTTTTCCCATTATATCACAAATATAATATTTTTATCCATATGCCCTGAAAAACTGCTTAATCACGCCGGATATAGTTATATTTCACCGGAAACAGTTATATTGCCCTCCCGAACACAGTTATGTTCCCTCGCTTGCAATCATTCTGCATATTAAATACGTCGGGTTTGAAATTCACAGAGGCAGTTGCTAAGCAAATGTAAACAGTAAACAGAAAATTAAAAAGTCTGGACAACGTCTGCGATTTGTTTATTTGAATTCAGAGGAATTAGATAATTTAATTGAGGAGAAAAAAATCCTTCAATACAGCAAAGATTATCAACGCAAGTGTCAGTGTACTGAAAACATTCTGCCATGAAACAGGACGGGATATTTCGGAATTATACTCAACGTACATATGTACATAGTATTCAATAAATATGTTCGATAATCGATTAGGGTTCAATGTTTAAAAATGTTATATACCATATATTACGTGGCTTAATTCTCGGGCAGCAATACCAGTATATTTGCCTTTGGCATCGGGCGACATAACACTCCAGGGCTTTCCTGTCACCTTGGGGCAAATATTCTGGTATGCTGCCCTCTAAGCCATGTAATATATGTATAATAGATAAATTAACAATTAGTACATGTTATCTTATTGATACAATAACAAATCTTTATCATGCTGTTGAACTTCTTACTATTTTTCTGTAGATTATTATACGTGACTGTTACTGTTGTCAAAGATTGGGAATGTTAACCTACCCAACAGGAATTCTACCTCTCATTTTTGGGGTAAGAATTTTATTTTATCTGGTTTTCATTTGTTTGTTGTTTCTTTCATATTAGCAATCAAGATAAATCTATTAATCTATTATTAGTATACTAGCACCAGGAACCTTCACACAAAATACACGACATGTGATACCCCAAACTGAAACACTGCACGTGTGATGTCCCTGCTAATACTTTGGATGTTTATGCAATTTAATTTGCATAAAGTAAGAGTAATACAATTTTTATAATGATAAAAAGTTATATAAAGGATGTTTGAAATGATTTACCCGCAGGGCTACTCAAACACAAAACACAAAATCTCTCTGGAAGGCTTGCTGCATCCTTCATATTCATTTTGCATTCTGGCTCTGGATGCTGATAAAATGTTTGAAATGTAAAAATTCTCTCCCGTTCTATAGTCAAGTTTTGCTTTTTTCTTAGGTATTCTGTGATAAAAAGCTTCATAGCGTGAAATTCTGGTTAAAGAATAGCATCGCTGCCATTAAAAAATAATAATATAATTTTCATCACAATTCTAGTAAGGACAAATATACTGAAATAAGTATCACAAGCTCTATTTTTCTCTTCTATAACGATAGTAACATTACAGCACGTCTATTATATTGTTGGTCATATCGAGTAAATTCGAGCGAAATAGTTTTATGCATAAAAGTACAAATTCATAAAAGCAGACCATGTAAAAATTTGAATTATAAAAAAGCAACCTGGTGACAACTTGCTTGTGGGCTTCTCTTTCAGTTTTCTCAATTCAGCATCTGAGAACCCAGCCCAACCCGACATCGTTTACACGTAACCTTTTTTCTCTTTTCATGCACATTCCTTTCATTTTTATAAATAGTCTTACAAACGCTTGTCTCCACGATGCTACAGCAACCGTTTACAAGTTTATATTTGACGTAGACATTACTTTTCGCAGAAGATTTTAAAATTGTTGCTGTCGTATTGTGATTAACAATTCATTATTTGATACCACTTCACTTATAGTACGCTGATAATGTTTTAATTTAAAGAAATATGGAATCTGAGTTGGTGTGCAATCATAAAAAGTGCAGAAAACGAGTAGAGGCCTTTGCATGGGTTTGTTTATTTAATTAAATTATCAATATTGGGCTATTTTATCGATTGTTTATCTGTTTATGACATTAATTTGACCAAATCTCGAATGCAAAAAAAAAAAAAAAAATAAAATAAATCTCAAACATCATTGAAAATATTTGAGTATAAATGAAAATTGAAGTATGATAGCACTAATGACTTGGCAATTTGTAACTTGAAAAAATAGATCTGCTAAACATTGAGGGGAGATGGGATTGTTTATATAAAAAAAAATGAAATTATTGACATCTATTTCAGCTAACTGCAAAAGAGTTTAATGTTTATTGATAAATAAATAATCTGACTTTTTTTTTCTCTTTTAGATAACTTCCTGTTCACGTATCCTTCATCTCTGCACTAATTGTAAAGTTTGTAAACTATAAGATAAGCTTCATTTAGGACTTGTAAATGTTTCAAATTTGACAGGTGAAAATACTTTCAGTGGTATGGCCCTAATATAATACCTACTAGTACCTCTAATTAAATTCTCAAGTAAACCTTAACAGTCTGGCAGACATATTCTGTGATGAAGATGGAGTCAGAGAGTTTAAAAATAACAATATTTGCCCAGCTTGTAAGTATTTTAAAATAACTTTTACGGCTTATAATTACCCTTTTAATATATCATATGTCATATACTCATATGAATAAATAAATGAAATTCTATTGTTTTTTGAAATATAAGCTTATAGTGCAGGCATACAAATGTTCCTTAATATAATCTGAAGAAACTTTATCCTACTGCAGTTTTGACAATACCCTATTATAATTTACAAAATGCAAAAAAAAAAAAATATGACAGAAAGGATTGGTTTCCTGTATTTATTTAGGTGTTTTGCTATTGCACATCATTTGCTATCTGTCTTTTTTTATATAGGTTCCACAGACCTGTCTGACAAACTTGACATTATCAGGATTGAAGTAAACCCGACTGAGAAATACAAGTCTGTAAGTCGAAATTCAGTGGACATTGGCTTCTGATACTTAAACTAAATAATGTGCAAAAGATTACCTCATATTGCAGATCATAATCAATGCAATTTTTCACTGTATGTAGAATAACACATGTATTACTAATACAGGAAAATTGTGACAATATCTTGTCCTAAAACTTAAGGCTTAGTCTTTAAATAGAGATCAAACATATACATGTATTTTGATGAGATATTGGGTATGTTCTATATTCTACATGTACAGTTGCATATTTTAGATGGTGCTAGCAGGAAAGCGACCTGAGATAATAATGGAGATCTGTACCAGAGCTCTGTCATTTTGGTCCTACCAGGTAATGTGTTTACATGTTTTAATGGTGAACAAAATTTCCCCCAACAGCTGTTCTCTAACTGTTTAATTATTACAGAACACTTGAACATATAAATTTGATATTCTCTTCAGTAACTTATAAATATCTTGAATGTATATATGAATATGTATTCCATAAGCCTTCTCACTGTGAGCAGGATTACTGCAGGTATCTGTTACAATACAGAGTATTATAGGTGGTATAATACATAAATATTGCATGTAGATGAGTATAACATTCTGCACAGTCAACATTTTTTTTTGTATCACCTGTCGTCAAACAATGTTGACTGTTGCTACGCTGGAGCCTGGAGGGCGTGGCTTCATTATTCAATTGGTAAAATGTTTCTTGACAAATCAGATTCAACCAATTTACATGAAAGTATAATATAATGGTCATAGACTTCAGAACTGGATGCCCCCCCCCACTCTTTTTTTTCAAAGGTAGATATAATATAAGAATTGAAGATTGGGGCTTTTAGCCACCCCACTTTCAATTTGCTTCTGATCGACACTCATGATAGTCAATGACATTTTTCACTTTTCATAGTCGGTCAGTATGTATCAATTAATGTTAAGCATATGATATATTTAAGACTAGTGAACAATATTTTGTTCACTATTACTAACTTCATTTGAATTTCAGATACACCAAGAAAGAGTCTACCAAGAGTATGTAGGATCTAAAGCCAAAGAAAGGGCAGCCCAGTTAGAGCAGTATTATGAACAAGTCATTTCTCAGACTTCAGCAGAACTGAACTGTATCCTTAGCATGTTGCAATCAAAAGAGCAAAGGAGAGCATGAGAGAGTGAGAAAGTTAGCAAGAGAGAGAGGTATAACAGAACACAATACTTACGACAAAGATACTTTGCTTTTGGTGCTTCTGGTTCTGGGCCCAGGTCCAGGTACTCCCTTCGTCGCTTTAGGATCTTTGATACTGTTGTTCTGTCAATTCCAAACATCTGAGCAATCTCACCCTGTGTCATTCTAGGAATCTGATTGGCTACCTTAGCAATTTGAACTTTGACTGAGTTAGGGATCACGGTCCGTGTTCTTCTTAGTCCCATATCTTCCAGAACCATTGTGGCCCCAGGGCTGGTCACGTTAGGGGGGATGGTAGTCACGATAGTAGTGCTGGTGTTTTGGGGAGATGATGAGGACTGGACCATGGAGGGGGACTCTTGGACAGAGAGGATGGGGGCGATTTTATACAGGAAGGTGGGGAAGGCCTCCGCTGAGGATTTGGGGGGTGTCTTGTTAGCCATGACTGTGACCGCAGGATCAGATTGCATCTGCTCTAGTAGCGTCCTCAGTGTTTTAGTAGCACTGCCTTCCATGCCCCAGTCATTGCCTATAGACAAGTTTATATAAGTGATTTTTGATTTAAGTAGAAATATTGTATTGAATTAAATTCTTGATATTAATATTTTAGTTTATATAAATGTAAGATATTGTATCTTTTCAAAGGTAAAATAATTCAATTAACACTGACATGTAAACATTAAATTTTATTGAAGTATATTATGTACTGTTCAATTTACTCAATAATCAAAGTAGTAATATAAATTTAAATGCTATTGTCCCCTTTAAAAATATTTGTTGTTTTAAACATAACATTCATTCAAACACTGAATCTCAGTTATCTTCCCCCTATACTCAAAGGCTAAAAAAGTCATCATAAAAACATTTTAATTGTAACTAGATACAAAAATAAAACCTTTAATCATGTTAATTAATAAGATACCTTACATTTATAACAGAGATGCATGTTTAATTGTTAACAAGTATTTAAAAAAAAACACAAATATAAACAATTATTTGTACTCTTGGTATTAATTAAAAATAAAATCCCCATCCATAAAAATGACATATAAACATTACACATGTGTACAGAACACACAAAGAACACCTGTTTATTGTCCTGCCAAAAAATCAATAGCACAAGACTTACCTGAACTTGAGGCGTATATATTTCACACAGGTGATGTAACCTTAACACACTTGACGTTGTTATAAGTTCGTCACATTCAGTAAATGAATTTATGAAATAAAAATCTCTGTTGTTAAATTAATGGTTTAGAGACTGGAAAATTGTATACAAGATACACGCTTGACTCTGTGGTCACACAGGTTGTTCTACAAGCACAAGGCTTACAGCGATAATGTGTGCCGAACTGAGGCTTTGCAGGGGTGTGACATTTTAATTAACGTCAAGTAACTATTAAATTCGTGAGTTAAAATTCTAAACAACGATCTTAAAAGTACTTATAAATACATAGTAATACACATATTTAATGACCACTATAAGCCCATTAAGCCTTTGCTAATCAAAGGCAATCTGTTTAATTTTCCCTGTATTGCGCCCCTGAATTAGCACTGAGTCACATGGTCTGTCAGCTATGGGGGGGGGGGGGGGGGGACAAGCTGAAAGCTCTGTGTACATTGCACTGTGGCAGCGAGAGGTCGATGGGCTAAATATAGATCTTAACACAATGTTTATCCTGCCTTGTAATTCAGCGTTTAAAGCCCAGGGGCTGACAGATAGATTATCACAAGTACCTATGTTGGACAGACGACAAGATAACAGGTGCAGACGACAGAACGAACTTGTGACGATAAAGACGAGACAATCACATAGCTCCCAAAATCAATATCGTTAATATGCATAACTTCTATCGATTAAGTACATGTATGCAATTCAACAAACGTTTGTACATTGTTGAAGTGATATGTGATTTTCCGCAAAACAGTTCGAAACTTTTTTCTCCTTTATTTGTTTTTCTTAACCTCCGACACAGCGCTAAAATTGCAACTTAGAGGTAAGCCCATTAAAAGGCAGGGAGAATTTATATAATGAATAATAGGGCAGGTAAGTTTTACATACCTCGAATAAGGTGCATATATACCCATTTATACTTGCATAAAAATATTTTAAACAATGAAGAAAAGTGATTTTTTTTATACATGAAAATATTAACTGCTTTAAGAAGATGGAAGAGGCATTGCCCATAATGCCTTTGGAAAAAGAAAATAATTATTATGATCGGTAAATAAATATATAAAGAAACCTATGTTTTTATTTGTATAATCTCTGTCAAACATCAGCATTTAGGTCATTTTGAGCTGCATGGCTTCTGATGTGTCCGATTTGAACTAAACTTTAACCTTTAATTCCGGTCAATCACCCTGCTTTTCTCGATTTTATTTTAGTCACCTGTCTGCTTTTTCGCGATTGTTGTGAAATTTTGTTTTGATATTCCACGTTTATCCAATAGCCTCGGATATCCAGCACTAGGTCACTGTCTACTGCTGATTTCCGGTATAATGACATGACTGACTACGAGCGTTCTTATGTCAGTGGTAGTATGAACAAATGAATGAACTCACAGTGGGATAAAATTGGCGTAATCTGGTCGGTGATGGCTATAATTTTTTGAAAGTGACTTGTCAAGGAAATTTTTGCGATGAACCAATGTTTAAAAAACGATGCCCGCAGAGAAAGCCAAAATCTTAAATAAATGAATGTCGATGTTTCTTACCATGATTGCAGCATAGAAAAAGTAGGTTAAGTCACAATCACAACTCCCAGACTGATGGAAGAGTTGCATGTAAAAATATATTCTCGGAAAAGAAGTATGATTTGTTGGGGAAAGCAGGTTTTTTTTCGCGGGAAAGTAGAGCCTGAGTCTAATCAGCGAAAAAGAGAAACAGCGTTCTGTTCCTTTCGTTGCCATAACACACCCGGCTGTGATTCAGACTTTGCTGCTTTTGTCTCGACAGTTAGCACAGTAAGTGAAATCGGCTTTCGGAATGCTAATTATGTTCCCCAAACGGAGTTTGGGAACATATTGTTTTTACTCGGTTTCTTATTATTATTATTATGTTCCCCAAACGAAGTTGGGGAACATAGTGTTTTTACTCTGTTTCTTATTATTATTATTATTATTATTATTATTCCTGGGAAAATTTTGTCCTTGAGTGATCTTGTAAACTACACATCTGACTAAGGTAAAATGTTTTTAGGGTCAGTAGACATGTTATGTAGATTTGCCGAACAAAGGTCATTTTGCGCGCACGTGCTTGCAAGAGCGCGCACGTGCAACACGTTAAATGGCCAATATAATGTATATTGCCTTAACTTTTCTATTTTTTAATGAAATGCTTTGAAACTCATAATGTAAGGATATATTAGTAGAATAGACAAGACGACATGGTCAAAATAGCAAAATCTCACGCGCATGCACGTGCGCTTTGCTCTGATTGGCTGAAACTAAAGTCTCAATATCTTTCTTGTTTTTTTACGAAATCCTTTGAAATTTTGAACATAGCCATGCATTACGATATCCTACAACGATATATAGCAATTATCATGAAAACACGTGTATGCACGTGCGCTGCAATCTGATTGGCTGAAACTTTAAATAGCTATAACTCCCTTGGTTTTCAACCAAACAGGATGGGATTTGGAACATAGATATATGTAATGGACTTCTACAAGAAGGTATGGTCACAATGCACATACATGCACGTGCATGTACGGCCCTGCAATCTGATTGGCTGAGACTTTAAACAGCTATAACTCCTTTGGTTTTCAACCAAACAGGATGGGATTTGGGGCATAGATATATATAATGGACTTCTACAAGAAGGTATGGTCACCATGCACATGCATACATGTGCGTGTACGTGCGCTGAAATCTGATTGGCTGAAACTTTAAATAGCTATAACTCCCTTGGTTTTCAACCAAACGGGGTGAGATTTAGAACATAGATAGATGTAATGGACTTCTACAAGAAGGTAGGGTCATCATGCTCATGTATGCACGTGCGTGCACGTGAAATCGGTAAAATAAAAAATACACTTGAATGAGCGTTTTTTTTTTTTATACTTTTGGATTTAATACTTTAATATTTAGCGTATTAAAATATATAGATTGTGTAGACAATATGATATGGTCATTACGCACATGCATTCACATGCGCAAGTGTGCAATGATAAAATTTGAATGAACATGATACACTTTTGGGTAAAAGTTGTTAAAGTCTCAAATGCATAGAGTTTGTCTTATTTAATTACGCTTACAGCGAATATGACTATAAAAGGGAGTTGGGGAGCGTTTGGGGAACATCTGTAACGGTCCCCGTTACAATTAGCACTAGTTATTATTATTATTATTATTATTCTTTTTTTTCTTCTTTGTTCTCCGGTACTTTTTTGTCCGCGAGTGTTCTCAGAAACTGTTCACCCAACTAAGTTAAAACCTTTTTAGGGTTAATAGGTGTCAAGTGTAGGTGTGCACAACGAAGGTCATTTTGCGCGCATACGCATGCACGTGCGTGCGCGTGAAATGAGTGAAATGACTGATATACTTATTATAGCCATAACTTTTACATTTTTTATTGAAATGCTTTGAAACTCATTCTATAAGGATATATTAATAGTCTAGATAATATGACATGGTCAAATTAGTACGAACTCACGTGCATGCACGTGCGCTTCCCTCTGATTGGCTGAAACAAAGATTTCAATATCTCTTGTTTTTTGACGAAATGCTTTGAAATTTTAAACATAGTCATGCATTAGGATATACTACAATATAATATATAGCAGGTATCATGAAAACACGCGCATGCACGTGCGCTGCAATCTGATTGGCTTAAACTTTAAATGGGTATAACTCCTTTGATTTTCAACCAAATAGGATGGGATTTAGAACATAGATAGACATTGTGGATTCCTACAAAAAGGTAAAGTCATCATGCACATGCATGCACGTGCATGCACGTGAGATGGGTAAAATCAAAAATACACTTGATGAAGCGTATTTTTTAATACTTTTGGATTAAATGCTTTATTATTTTATTATATCAATGTATATAGATAGTGTAGACAAGAGAATATGGTCATTACGCACATGCATTTACATGTGCACGCGTGCAAGTGCTAAAATTTGAATATACTCGGTATAATTCAGGGAAACGTTGTTAAAGTGTAAAATGCATAGAGTTTGTCGTTTTTAATGAAGCTTAAAGGGAGTATGGCACCAAAAGGGAGTTGGGGAGTGTTTGGGGAACATCTGTAACGGTTCCCGTTACAATTAGCCCTAGTTTTAATTGGTTCGTACACTTATATATCAACTGTTTCACTTTTTTCCCACTTGAGTTCCCCTTGTCCTTGATTTGACCTTGCTTTTAGGAATCAACAGCTGAACATTTCTGTCAAATGACAATGCGGACTCAAACCACCATCAACGCTAGACAAAACATAATTTTCTATTCATATATACTATGTACTAGTAGTATTTGTCTATCTTCAGCTATTGTTATCATTATTTAATTTACATTTGATGTATGCATGTAAAACTTTTTTAAAGAGTTTACAGAATTAAATTGTAATGGAAATATACTGACATTCAGGTGACTTACACTATCTGTGAGCAGATATGTTATTTAAAGCAATTGATGACAATTAATGATGATTTTGCAACAGAAAAAAAAACGCAAAAAAGAAAAGAAAATTTTAGGATGAAACGAAAAGTATTCGAGAAAAACAGTCCTTGAAACAATACAAATTTGGAACTGAGCAAACACGAACTTCCAAAATAATGAAAATATCAGAGGTGGGATCAGGTACCATGGAGGAGCGAGCACCCCTTGCAGACCGGTCACGACCGCTGTGTGCTCCATGTCTTGATCGTGGGAATAATGGGGAAATATGTTGACAATTCAGTGTGCAAATAATGGTCTAAAATTTGTATGAAAAAGTCAGTCAGCATTTGACTTCATGATAAATTGTTTTTGCTTTCAAGGTCATTATATCGACCATAGAACTTGCGAAATGATGACTTTAAACGAGACTGCTGATATTCTTGTTTCATCAACATGCCTGTCAATAACCTACCTCATTTTAGAAATTGTTCATACGTAGAGCATGAATTTGCATATCGAATCAACGGAGAGACATAAATCCCGTATGCGGGTGATGAACGTAAATTGCTGCATAACTAATGGAAGTTGACGATTGAAAAATTAAAGTCATCTGACGTTTATCATAAAGCTTGGTTGTTTGATTTCCATTAACACCTTTTTCAAGTAAAATAACTAAATATGTAACAGATGTCTTAGACTTCGAGGAATCTTTTATTTTAACTTTAT